GTCTCAGAGCTCTCCCGCCCCAATCTCATTTGCCCTCAGCTCCACCCTCCTTCCAGGAAGCCATGAACTGTCTCCCAGGCCCTTTCTCAAGTCCTACGTCCAACCTCCTCTCCACTCCTGCTGGTGCATGTGGGGTGGGGGATACAGCCACAGGGTCCTGCCAGGCACCTGGAGGAGAACAGCCACACCGGGAGAGCCCAGGTGCAGTGGCCTGCCTCACATCTGGGCCGTTCTCTCAGGGATGGGCATCATGGCTCTCAGAGGGGGCCTTGCACCCACAGGACCTATCTGAGGAGACCGGGCCACACTTGGGTGCAGTGGGCAGGACTCAGGAGTCTCATAAGCTACCGTCTGAGTCCTGGCGCGGCACCTCTTGGCCATGTGACCCTGAGCAAGTTGGCACCCTCTCTGAGCCTGAGTTTCCTCCCCTGTAAAATGGGTCCAATACTTAACAGGGTTAAGTGTGATACTTATATCAAAAGATTAGAAGCATCAAGTTCACACCAGCTACAGCTATGCACCATCTCCCTCGCCCAAGGACACTGCTCCCATGTTCTGGTGGCCAAGGACGCTTGGTGGCCCTCAATCTCGCCTCTCCCCAGACTCTCCAGGGCCTGCAGGTCTGCACACAGCTTCCTGTCCTCTGTAACTGCAGGGACGCCCCTTTCTCATCGTGACCAATTCAGGGGGAAATGAGCCACCCTGCTGCTTCTCGACAGACACTTCCCCTTTCCTCTAGCGCATCAGGCATGAGATATCAGCGCATGCGGCTAGGTGGAGGAGCACTTCCTTAGCTCGACTTCTGAAGAAAACGCCATCATTGCCGTTCATCCACGAGTACATCTCTGTGGCACCAACAACTTCCTGTCCCCTTCCTCTGCACTTCCCTCCATAACCAAAGTGGTCACAGCTCGCGGGGCATAATCCTACTCCTCTTTGATGATATCGAGTCCTGTCGGTGGTGCACACAATGTGAAACAACTGGGTTTTTTTGCCCAAAGCAGAAGTCCCCAAGCCTCTGAGGAACAGAGAAAGGAAGTGCCTGGGCATGTGGGGGAGGGGAGGGGACGGAAGAGAAAGAAAGAAGGGAGGAAAGAAGCAGGCAGGATGGGGAAGCAACATTTACTGGGGTCTGACGATCTGCCAGCCACCGTGCCAGGCCCTGGATATCAGGATGAATAAGACATGGTACCCTGTCGAGGGAGCAGGAAACAGAGATGGTACTTGGGAGGCCCTCACCTCCTGTGGGGCTAGGAGAATGAAGGCAACTGAGACACATCCAAGGTGGCTGCAGACATGCCAGGAATGGGAACACAGAGTGCTCTGGCCTGCGGGAGTGGGCACGCTTTGTCTTGGCTCAGGTGTTTTTGGGGGTGACTGCCTTGCTGTTTGTGACTCCAGCCCAGGGAACCTCAGGTAGGAATCTTTCATTCCTGCCAAGTTGGTGTGGGGTCAGTGAGGGAGCTGGGAGGGGCATGGACCCTCTGGCCAGAGCCGACTCCAGGTGGTGGAGGAAGAGACACCGAAAGAGGCTTTGGGATGAGACAGATCTAAGCTGGGGATCAGCTGGGCAGGGCACAGAGACTCCAGGGCCAGGCCAGGCGGCACATCCAGGCTCTGCTCCTTATTAACTGGGTGAGCTTGGGCATGTGACTCAGCCTCAGTTTCCACCTTTGAAAGGAAGCCCAGCTGGTGATTACAGCATCGTTCTCATGGTAATGGGCTTCACACCGTCAGTGCCTGGCCAGGGGTAAGTTTCAAGTAACATTGAGCTGTTAATGGGCTAAGCACTGTTGGCTCTCAGCGTATTTCTCTGTCACAGGCAAGGAATAAGCCGTAGCTTTTGGATTAGGTGCGCTCACAGATGGTAGGAGCCCAGGGCTTTCTCAGTCGTGAGAATTCCGCTCCTTTCCTCCTTGGGGGTGTTTCTAAATACTTGGACATGCAGAGAAGCTTTGGAACAGGCTACGAGGGGAGCAGGACCCTGTGCGGCTGGAGCCCCTCTCCTTGTAACAAGAATGTTTGGTTTCCTGGGGGGCTGCACATCCATTACACATCTGCAGGGCAAAATGTGGAAACCCGTCCCCCCCCCGCGGCTCTGCTGGAGGGCCTGAGGGCATCTTGGACAGGTGCGCACCTGCCAGCATGCACCGGTATCACCAAGCCACTTTGCCTTTTCTCCCCCAGGAACCCATCGGCCTGGGGAAACCAAGGCAGCCAAGTCCTGAAGGTGACTGGAGAGCAACCAAGTCAAGCGCCTCCTTCCCCAGGGAGATGGAACACGAAGCCGGACGTGCACGACACTCACTAGACTGAGCTGCCAGACGGATGGCATAATCGCTCCCGCTCAGAAACTTCTCTGAGAACGTCTCCCGGGATGGGGAGAGTGGAGGAAGGGCGAGCTCCTCATTGGTCAGCCGGATGCCCTTGGCCGCTAGGAAACTCTCTCCCAGAGGGAACCAGGAACTGTTGGAAGCCGAGACAATCTCTTCTGTTTCCTGAATGAACTGCAGAACACGAAGTTTCATTTCCTCACAGGAACCTGGGCCTAGGGAACAAAGACATCACAGAGGGGCTCACCACCACATACAGCTCCCTCTGACCCCTCGGCAGTGTGTGCACACATGCGTGTCACACACACACACACACACACACACACACACACACTTCTACCTCAGCTGCTTCCTTCTCACCAGCTCTTTCTACAACCTGGAATGTTCTGTATTGTTTCCACAATTTCATTCACTCGACACTGATGGAGGACCTACTATGTAAGATCAGTAATAGCTAATGTCTATTCCACACTAGGCGCTGTACTATGCACATTTACTCAGACGATCTATTATAATTTAATCTATGCAATAGCTAACATCTGTGTGTTGACTTTGAGGGTCAGCCTATTTCTAGAACTTGACATGTTAATGAAGAATCCTAGAGTCTCCAGGCTGTTCAAATGCCCAGGGTATCATTACAGCTCTCATCACACGTTCCTGCTACTAAAACTTCTAAAAACCCACTGACTGCTGAAACCTAAACGTTGGCAAATGTCAAAATGGGCTGATTGAGTTTAACATTACCCAGAAAGGTCTGGGCCACATTGACCATTGCAGAGAACAAATGGAGAGATTTCACTGGACTTGAACGGCTGTAATATGACCTGTAATATCAGCAACTGCTAGCTAGAGACATTCTGATGTGATAATAACAGGTGAATGTGCCTGGTGGTTGTTTGAAACTGCCGGCATGGCTATTTGGTAATAACGCATTTAATTCCAGACAGAGAGTCAGCCTCATTCTGTTTAAGCCACTCTTAGAAGTCCATTTGCCACAAAGCTGAACTTATAGCCCTCTTTCAGCAGCTCTCCAATTGGTCCTCTGATTAAACCCTCTCAAGTAAATTAAAGGCACTTGGAGGGCAGAAGCGTGTCCTGAGGTCCCGAGCACCTAGCAGTGTCCTTGTAAGTAACAAGACCACCGTAACATGTGTCGGTTGATCAAACGGTGCCCCTGACGTGTGAGAGATGACTAAAGCATCAGCCATAGAGGGCAAAAGCCAGGCCATTTTCACTTTACAGCCTTTATCGGACCTAAGATAATGCTTTGTACACAGAAGGCATCCAATTAAAGTTGGAGGCACTGATTGAAATAATTATATGAAAATTTAAAAAATGAACTACATTAACTTTGCCAACCCCTGACTGTGCAGACGTGGGGAAATCTCTTCCCTTCTATGAGCCTTGGTGTTGTGGATAGAATGTTTGTGTGACCCCAAAATGCATATGTTGAAGCCCTAATCCCCAACGTGATGGCATTTGGAGGTGGGACCTTTGGGAGGTGACCAGGTTTAGATGAGGTCGTGCAAGTGGGGTCCTCATGATGGGATTAGTGTCTTTATAACAAGATAAAGAGACCAGAGTTTTTTCTCTCTCTGCCATGTGAATACACAGTAAGAAGGCAGCTATCCTCAAGCCAGGAAGATGACTCTCACCCGGAACCAAATCTGTCAGCACCTTGACCTTGGACATCCACCCTCCAGAATTATGAGAAATAAATGTCTGTTGGTTAAGCCGTCTATTCTGTGGTATTCTTCATAACAGCCTGAGCTGACATACATTCAGTTACCCCAACCATACATTAAAGGGAGGTACTTGGCCACATATGATCTCAAGTCTAACTTTGACACCAAATACCCACCAGACATCCTGTTTTCATAACCACAGATTCTGTTCCTCACATGGTTTAACTCACATGCTGGAAGCTTGCTTGGCTCCATCCGGGTTCCTTTTAGTTCCTGACCAGCTCCATCCACACACCAGCAAGTCCGAAGGTCGAAGTGGGCCAGAGGAGTGCTGAAGTCTGAGTAGGGCCCTGGGTAGCGGCCGAGCTGACCACTTAGGATCTGCCAAAAGAGGTAGGGCTCCAGCAGCGTACTCTGTCCAGGCTGGGTCCGGTTCCCTTCCAACACTGCCTGTGGGACATCTTCGAGAGAAGAATATCTGCCTAACCCAGGGAAGATGCCTTGCTGGCCAGCCTCATACAGAAGTTGAATAAAGAGACGGAAGCTTCCAGAAGCTGCTTCTCTATAGCTCAGGATCTTCATTAGCAGCTCATCAAGGGTCAGCTCTTGGCCACCGTTGTTCTGAGCCCTCCATCGTTCATATAACTCGAAGGCCTGCTCGGGGGGCCCGTTGCATTGCACGCGACTCCACTTCCCGCTGGTGCTGCACTGTGGGATGTAGACACTGGAGAGAGTGGGCAGCTCACTGGAATTAGACACCAGGGACCGTACTGCCCCGAGGAAGGCTTGCTCAGCCTGTAACTGACAGGGTGTGGGGCCTGGGGAGAAACAATAAGCAAGTGTATTTGATGAGCACAGCAAAACCAAGATGGAAGCTCTCGACTTTCCAAACCCCATATAAACCCTGATACAGCCATAGATCCTAACACGTCTAGACAGAGGGCATCCCCATCACTAAATGGGCACTGCCGAGACTCGCTGTGGTCAGCACTGCAGACGTGTATGTGGCAATGCCTTAAGGCCAGATAAATCTCCTTATTCGTTTATTTAAATGGATAACAATATCAAGACTTTTCTGGGCAATTTTTAAATTAACCAGCAAATATCTCCATTAACAGAAATTTGGGCTTTAGCTATGACTGAATTTCTTTTTGCTGTAATGTAGTGTGTCAGGGTCCTAAGGGAGAATCAGGGTTTGTAGACCGAAAGCCCGACAGACTTACATTGCTTGGGTTCTCCAGGTACACTTCGAGTTCCAGGAATAGCCTGACCCTCAGCGTCAAAACAGTAGCACTCGGAGTTGAAGCACTGGACAGGTAGGAAGTGCCCCTCGCTGGTACAAGAAGGAACAAACAGACTGGACCCAGCTGGCTGCCTGGCCGAGATGCTCTGCATCTGAGCCCTTTGCTTTTCACACTCTGTGGGGCACCTAGGTCGTCCCCCTCTAACCCTCGAGCCAGGAAGTTCTTGGCCCCGGGAATCCACACACCAGCACTCCCCAGCAAAGCACTGGACATCCTCATAGCTTCCTTCTGCTGTGCATGATGGGACGAAAAGCCTGCCAGCTGTCTGCTCACAGCCCTGGGAGCTGAGCGCCATTTCCATCACGTCACCTAAATCCCTCGCGATATCTTCTGGCACAGAAATAGCATGCTGCAAGAAGAGAAGGAATTTTGGGAGCTCCAGGAGCGAAGCAAGGGATTTCAGGGCATTTTGGTTCTCTTGGAAGTTGATTTCGAAGCCAAAGCTGCCCACAATTGGCTTATTCATAGCACTCCGGGGGTTAGCGGTGCCGGGTGTTTCCCCAGCAGGATTCGAATCCAGTCCCAGTTTGGCTAGATCTATGAGTCCCCCTCCATTCTGGAAGCCTGGGAGACCGAGTTGCTGGAAAAACTGACTGAAGTTAAACGTGCCTCTCGTGCCAAGGGCTCCAGACAAGTTAAACTGGCCAACATTCACCAAAAATTTCCCTCCAAAGAGGTTTTGCTGGAGCCGCACTGGGTTGGTGGTAAACTGCAGGGCAAGGCGCGCCAGCTCTCGGGAGGGAAAAATCACTCGGACGGCTTCTTTGAGGAGCGTCTCGGAGGCCGAAAACAGTTGATTCTGCCCTTCTACCATCGGGCGGAGAATCCCCGAGTCCACAAAGAGCTCCTTGACCGAGGGTGGGCAGGACGTGGCCAACCTAGCTGCCCTCTGAGAGACCTGTCTCGCCTCCGAAGCCAAGAACCAGTTGTGCCGGCTGAAGTAGCCGGAGGGCCCGAAATGCAGTCTGGACAGGGCCTGCCGCCGCGCTGAGGCACAGGACTGGCCTTCCGCTGCACAAGACAGAGCAAACAGGAAACACGGTTTGAGTAGCATGAGTAATCCCGAGACAGGCCCTTACATCTTTCTGGTAGTGAGATGTCAACAAATTCAATCCAGGGCAACTGCATTTATTCTGTGCCTCCTTCTTCTCCATATCCTTTTTTTTTTTTTTAAGCTGAGCCATCCTGCCACCTGTTGGCAGCTCAGCGGCAGCTCAGCTCGGGCCAGGCATCGAACCGCTGTTGCTCAGAGTTCAAACTCTTAAGCGAGCTCTTAAGCAACTGAGCCACTCAGCCGGCCCCTCCATATCCTTTTATGTTTAGCTTTCGCTCTGAGTCGTGTCCCTGGAGGCCATTTTGGGGGGCAAGTACTCCTGTTGACATGACTTCCTCTCCTAGCTTCCACGAGTGGGCAACTCCCCTCCCCTCACCCTGACTTTGAAGGCGAGGCTCATAGACATTGGCCCACTTTCTGAAAACCTCACCACACACGTGCACCAGCTGGACTGGGTTGCATGACGTCTCCCTCCCTTCCTCTTCCTTGTCCACCTGGCACCTCAGAATGTGACCTTATCTGGACATAGGGTCTTTGCAGACATGCTTAGTTAAGATGAGGTCATCCTGGAGTAGACTGGGCCCTAAATCCAATGACTGGTGTCCTAATTAGAAGGCCATATGCAGACAGGGAGAAACACACAGGGAAGAAGGCCACACAAGGATGGGGACAGAGACCAGAGCAAGGCAGCTAGAAGCCAAGGGACTCCAGTGATGGCCAGCAACCCCCAGGAGCAAGGAAAGGCTCTTCCCTGGAGCCTTCGGAGACAGTGCAGCCCTGCTGACACCTTAATTTCAGACTTCCAGCCTCCAGAACCATGAGAGAATAAATTTCTGTTGTTGTAAGCTCCCCGGTTTGTGATAATTTGTTACAGCAGCCCCAGGCAACTAATAGACCAACGAATGCCTGGTTTTTTAATGAAATGTTGTTTTCCGGCATTCGCTTGCTGGAATTCTTAATGGACTTTAATGCTTCATTATATGCTCTCCGTCTGGCTGCCTAATTCGTCCTTGCGAGTAGTCTTGTCTCGGCTAACTAGTTTATAGTCTCGCTGAGGATAAGAACCATACTTTAGATGCTATTAGTACTTCCTATAATAAATGTTTTCCTGTGTTGTAATATGTAATATTATACTCCATTATAGGAAACCTGATAGTTCCTATCATACAATGAAGCCCAGCCGGCAAACACACTTGGCACATTCTTCTAAGCTTCTTGGCCTTTCCTTGAAATTACTAATTAAACAGCGATCAGCTCAGTCAACTCCATGCACCGTCAGGTCATTCTGCCTGAATATGCCAGGTTGACTGTAATCACATTAAGAAAAAAGATCTTGAAGTCAAATTCCAGGGCCTCATTTACACAGGTGAAAGTAAATAAGCTCAATTTTCCCCCATAAAACCGTACATACTACAGGCTTCCAACCACCCACCACCCCAACCTTTTAAAATAATTCTTTCCCCTCAGTTCACACAGATACCAAAAAAGGAACTCGGCCAATTTTCCTCTGTACCCAGGCAACAGAGAGAGCTGGAACATGTGGTCAGAGGGAGGAAAAAGGCTGGCAATATCAGAACACACAACACATCCCCCAACGAGGCCACGGCATCGTTTAATGGATATTACAGGAAGGTATGGAAGAAATAAAGTTTACTGCCTCGCTTATTCTCTTTCCAGATTAAAAGCATATCCCTTCCATTCGTACTGGGTGTTACCAAGGCAAAAAATTCAGACATTGTTTCCATGTGGCGTTCGTTTCCATGGAAATAAGACTGATATACCAGAAAGAAAAAGTAAAAATATATAATCCATGCATGTGGGAGCACTCTGGGTTTTCATTTGGAAAACTGTAGTTCATTTCCCCTTGGAAATTAGAGGGCGCAATAACGATAGTCTCTAGGTTTTAACAGAGCTAAGACGTAACTGTAAATTCCTTCAAGGCAGAGCTTCAAATATTGCTTTTTCTACATCCTCACGTTTAGCAGAGAGAAAACTACCCAACACCATGCAGGATCTCAACATGTTAAGCTGTAGAAATCAAACGATTTAACAGGAGTTGCTGATGTAAGACATATCAATTTTGAGGCTAGGAAAAGACCCGCAGTCCTTCGTGCCCAGTCTTGCTGAGTCCACCCAGCTCACCCAAGCAAGAAGCCTACAAGTGGGAAGCCTACACATGCTCCTGGGTTCCAGCCTCCAGCGTCTTATGGGTAAGACGGGATGGAGTCTTGCTCGAATGCCGAGGGACATTTCTGAAGCCCACACCCTTCTCCCCAGCCCACTGCTTCTAGCTTAGCATTGGCTCCCCTTAGTACTGGGTTGAATAGTGCCTCCCCAAAATGCATGCCTTTCCTGGAACCTCAGAATGTGACCTTATTTGGAAATAGGGTCATTGTAGATGCAGTTAGTTAAGACAAGGTCCCAGTAGAGTAGGCTCGTAATTCTATATAACTGGGGCTATTATAAGAAGAGGAGAGACACAGAGGCAGACACGGAGGGAAGACAGGCTGGTGGCAACAGAGGCAGAGTTTGCAGTGAGGCTGCCACAAGCCAAGGAATGCTAAAAATTGTTGGCAACTGTCACGAACTAGGAAGAGGCCAGGAAGGATTCTCCCTGGAGCCCTGCTGACACCTTGATTTTGGAATTTGAGGCTCCAGAACCGTGAGGGAATATATTTCCGCCCTTCTAAGCCACTCGCTTAGTGGTAATTTGTTACAGCTGCCCCAGGAAGGTAATATAGTCCTCTGATCTCTCTTCAGGACATTGAAATGATCTTCTAATTGGCCCCATTGCCTCCAGTCTAATGCGGCTGTCCCTCTGTCCTCCAAAATGCCCGAGTGATCTTTCTTACACACAAAACCCACCATGGCACTGACCTGCCAGCTTAAATCCCATCAACACCTTCACCTGACCCCTGGGGTAAGTGCCCCGTCCCACCCCCACAGACTTTGCTTTGATAGGAAAGACCTCATTGTCTCACCCCTGCCTTTCCCTCAGTCTTAAAGTTCAAAGCCCTGCCCTGATCACACTCCAACATTTTTTTCTCTTTTCTTCTTGCAGATTCAGTGGCCAGTAGCATAGCAATGCCTATTATTTGTGTCCTTATAATTTTGCTTCTCCTGCTCTCTATAGAGAGAGCACCTCTCCCCTTATTGTCCTCCTTCAGGAAACATCTTTATTTTAGACAGCGAATCAAGTGTCACCTCTTCCAGGAAGCCTTCCTGAATGTCTCCCTTTTATATACACTGCAAGACAGCATTGATCCTACCTTGCTTTGAGTTCCTTGAGTCACCAGTATACTCTTCTCTCGTGGCACATGTAAACTTAATTCTCTTTCCTTGTTCTTTACCTGGGAGGCCCACTAAGCTACCTGAGAAAGAAGCTATGTCTGACACAGGACAAGAAACATGTTAGCAATCAATGATGATAAACAGGTTTTCCATCATGTTGAGCTTGAAGGGCCTGTGGGGCAGTGGAATTAACAGGTTCTAGAGTGGTTGGCTTGGGGAAAGAGTTAAAGGACGAAAGCAAAACAGGAAGCCCTTGAGAGGAAACCCACCACAAGATGGAGGCCCCCCTTGCCGCCGAGTCCCATGGACCTCCTCGCCTCGGGCGTCCACACACCAGCACGGCCCTTCCCTCTGGCACTGCACTGCCTGGTAGTCTCCATTTCGGTGGCAGCTGGGCATGTAGGGGTGACCGAAGTTGGTCGCTGTAAACCGCTCCACTTCACATTTTGTGGGGCCTAGGAGACATCCGTGCACAAAGGAGAAGACGGCAGGTAAACAACACTTGATGTGTTTCCAGCATGCGTTCTGCTTGCTGTAAAAATTGTTTAAAACCCCCACACGCCCTTTGGTGGAACAGCCATGGAGGCTGCAGCGACGCTAAAACCCAAGTGGTTTCTTCCTGGCAGAAGCGTGCACATCTGGTGTCGGCTTATTACTTACACCGGAATCTTCCAGAAACGAGTAATTGAACTGCTAGGAACCGTCTCTGCAATATCCGGTACAGGGTGGTTTCAGTGAAGGTGGAAGGGAGGCCCAGGCCAGCAAAAATGGTGTCGTAGATTTCATCGAGTAACAGCTCCAAACCTGAGCAAAGACAACAAGCGTTTTCAGGGGTGGGTTCCTTCAGAAGGGAGTCCTGATCTGGCCATTTCAGCAGATATTCGGAGGGCCCGAGCCTTCGCCGGCACCATTATGCATCGGGTCCGAACAAGACCCGAATGGTTTCCAAAGCCAGGGTCTCAGCAATGGTTGTGCAGGTTGTCCAAGCACCAAGGAGCACGGCTGAGAGCGAGAGGAGAATGAAATCCACCCGTGTCCCCCTTGCAAGCGCATCCATCCAGAGGGGAGGGGGCGCCCCTTTTTTGTGGGCACAACAGTGGCCCCATGTGGGCCAGCAGCAGCTGCCTAGAAGTAGCCTAGATGAACATTTGCTAACCAAGCCTCCCTCAATACCCACAGCAGCCTGGCAGGGGAGCGCACAGTCACTGCTATTCCTGCTTTACAGGTAATGAGACTGTGGCTCTCAGGCCTGGTGAACACCCCCCTCCCCTCGGACTGCCTGAGGTGTGCTTACCTGTCTCAGCCAGCTCCCGCCCTTGACTGTCGGCACAGTGACAATACCCAGACACCTCGGGGAACCTGCTCCGGAAGGCACTGAACGTCACGAATGCATCTGGAAACCTAAAAGAGGAGATAGATTCATGGTCCCCATTTCGTAGAAAGGCAAGTCATCACGAGCTCTTCCTGTAGAAGTAAAATATCGCCTGATCTCATCCGGGGAAAAGGAATGCCTGGCTATTTTATCTCATGCCATTCACTCCATGCTTCCTATGGTAAATTTCTTCTCTAAAATGGCTTTACCTGGCCAGAGCTAGGCTGGACCTGTTATTAATAAATTAAAGCTGTGCTTCACTGTCCTCTGCTAATTAGCCATTTTCCTCACTCATGGCATTTGACCAATGTATACCCAAACATGTGTCTCATAGGATCAGGAGGAAAACAGGCAATGGACATCCCATCAACGCATTTCCTTACTAGAATGTAACTCTAGAGACTGAAGGCCAAGTTTGCTTTACAAACATATGGTACATTGTAGATGATCTCATTTGGGAGATCAAACGACTTCAGAGCCTTTTTCAACATTTCAAGAGCTTGAAAAGCAGCCAGGTTTCCCCATAGGAAATTCTTGAGGACATTTCCCAGTTCCGTAGTTGGAAAAAAAAAAAACCCACAAAATCAATATGACATCACTAACAAGGGCTACACAACCCTTTCCGTAAGTTGCAGAAAAGTCCACATAACTCATGTCTGATGTGGCCATTGCCATAAGGCGCTAATTGGCTGGGTTCCTCATCCTGGAAGCAATATGAAACTAAGGTGATGTACAGCCATATGCAGGAGTTGCTCCCAAGTGCAATGATTGAGCCACCAGAGAGGAACTTTTCATTTTTATACAACAAATGAGAGATTGCACGGATGCCCTATAGAGCTGGTCCACGTGAATCAAGCTTAATGTCTGGAGACACATCCCACATGATAAGTTAGAAGAAGCAGCAGCACTGCGCACAAAGGGGTCTATCGTTGTGTAATCTAGTTTAGCAAACTCTTGAAAACAGCCTTAGTGTACGACGATAGGAAAATTAAGTACTGCATTCTGGTCAATGCCCTTAGTGGATGGGTGCATAAGATTATGTAAAACGGACAAAATGCAAAATGGCCAGCCACACACGGCAATTACTACAATGGAAATGAACCCGTATCAGGAGGTGATATATCGTGCAGAAACTGCTCAGAGCCTAAACGCAGGAGTGCAAGAAGCATTTGCTAATTTGAATGGAAATGAATATGCAAAACAAAGCATAGAAAAGCACTATAGAATTATGGGTTTTCTTTCCATGTTGTGGGCGTATTATTGTGTGTATGTGAGCTAAATACAAAAGAATGTCATGGCAAGTGAATTATGCATAATGGAAACTAAAAACTCACTTTGCCCAGTTGCCACTGATTGGAGGTTCACTAACTGGGACCTGGATAATTGGATTCTAGAAGGGCTAATAATAGTCTAATAATCACTTCCATTTATTGAGCATTGCTAAAAGACAATCTGCAAAGTGTTTAATATGCATTCACTTTTTAACCCACTGAATACGCCTCGAGGGCAGATGGTGGTTTTTTCATCTCCGTTTGAGAGGTTAAGAAGATAAAGTATGTTGGTCACCATCTTGAAATAACAATGGGAGCCAGGGTTCACACCCAGGTCTCAGGCACTACATGATGACTCTCTCCGCCAACGGTATTCCTCAGCGTGCGTTTGGTTGTACCTGGTTTCTGCCCGTATCCTGAAAGGCGCGTGACTCTGTTCTGACACTCTTTTCTGTACATATGCCCGACACCTAGCTTTTTCCTGGCAGCTAATGGATGTTGAAGACACACATGCTGGATGAATGTATTCAAGGGTCACCTGGTTGGCTCAAGGTTCTAAAACCCATTTCAGCATAAGGCACAGGAAATTTAAATCACTTTAGTCCCGCGTTCTGCCGATTCAACCCAAAGGCCCAACGCAACATCCTGTCCCAGGGCCAATGAGACCAGCAGGGTCTTTGAGCCATCTTCATCCTATTGCCTTAGGGTGAGAGTCCTTCTCTCTGGGTTTCTGGTCTTGTAAGCTTCCCAGGACCTGGACATCCCTGTGCTTTCGCATGGGCCTCACTCTTAAATCACCCTTCTTGCATACTGGAGATCACCATGACTTTGGCTGGAGATAGGGTCCTCCCATCCTCCCAGGAACACCATCCTAAGGCCAGCCCCTGCGACTTGGACTTTCTAGGGTTGTTTTCTGCTCACCTCTGGGGCAGACACCCTGCACCATCATCTTTAAGCCCTCCTTGCCAATTCTGTGTGCAGTGAAAATGCTAAGGACCTGGAGCCAGACACATCAGAATTCCTTCCAGTCCTGGCCTTACCACATATGATTATCACTATTAATTACTACTAATAAAAAATAATAGCAGGAGGCATGTATTGAATGATCAGACACTATGCCAAGCACTCTCCATACTTTTAATCTTCACGGCAACCCATATAAAGCTCCATTTCACAAATGAGGAAACTGGGGTTCAGAGTGGTGAACTGATTGGTTCAAGATCACCCAGCCAGAACCAGGGGCCAGGTATCCTGAGTCCACTGCTCATGCTCTTTCTACAGCAGCAGCTGGCCAGATGGGAGGCTATAGTTAAATAGAGCGTGGTCCTTGGGGTACCCTGCCCTGAGTCAACAGTAAGTTCGAGCTCTGAAACTTGCCCGATTTCCTTTGTTCCCCAAATTCGCTGTGATTCCATCTGATTGTTGTGGCTGATTTCTGAAACAATATCACCATCTGTGAATTTTGGACTCCTCCCCCGGTATAATAATGGTGCTAAGTTGGTTTACTTGCTGCTTCAGCTATTGCCATTGGTGCTTTACTGTCACCCAGGGCATGAGGGCCTCTGCCACGCTTCCCACCTCCCTCTCATTAGATTCCCAACACTTCTCTGTCACCCCAAGAAAAACCAAACTACTGAACCTGCACCTAACATCCTGATGAACGGCGGACAGCCCTGGCCCCATCCTAACACGTGGGTCCGCTGAGTTTGGAACCTGTCGTGTGGCCAAAGGATGCTCTCAAAGAAGTGAGCCTTGAGTGGGATTCCACAGGTAAGAATGATGATTTGACAAGGAGACAGTGGAGGAACAGAGACCGTGTCCAGGGTCATTAACATGCCTCCATCTTCAAGGTGGGAGACAGAGGCCCACAGTGCAGGCAGAAGGGAAACCTGACAGGTTGGTGATCACAGAGGGAGGCACAAGCCTGGTGGAGAAGGCCAGACCCAAGCATCTCAACTGTTGAAACACCGTGTGTGAAACTGCCGTGCCCACTGCACCGTCTAGGCACCTGCCTTAGAAAGCCGACGGCCTTATTGGCCACGGCACATTGTCAAGTCATGTAGGCCCCTGTGGCATGTGGCATTATCTCCTTTATAAGGATCTGAGGAACAAAGCTCTTTCCATCCTCAGTAAAAGAAAAAATTGTGTTCCTCTAAGATACTGGTTTATTTTTACCCAGTAGAAAGCGAATAACTTAGAGTGTTCTCTCTTTCTCTGGATGTAGGGAGCTCAGCGACAAGCGTGCAACCCCTCACATTTGTTAAAACTCTATGGGTTGAATGGTGTGTGCCAACCTTTGCCTTGCTTTAGTCTTATTTCCCACCCTTATTTAGCCTTCCTCGTGACTTCTTCTATTTTCCACTTCAATCCTGTTCTGGGCATATCAGAAGAAAGGAGAAAGAGAAAATGAACACGACATTTAAAAATTAAAAAAATAATTGCGTCTAGTGAAAACAGATGTTTCCCTTTTGTTGAATAAAAAGCAAAGTCTCAGGACGAACATAGAAGAGCCCTTCAGAAAGAAAATTACGGTGGAGCAGGAAATGATGGCATTGCTAAGTGTATGCTCCGATTGCGGCCAAACTAGAGTTAGAGGAATCACAGGTGAGGCTCGGGGGGACAGGAAATGTCAGTCCCAGCCAGGAATCGGGTCCTGCTCATTGGCAGAGAAGGATGCATGGCTCTGGGCTCAGGTAGCTGGCACCCCCTACTGCAACTCTGCCCACACCTAGTCCCCCCCGAAATCTAACCACCAGTTCAAAAATTTAGCAATTTATTGGATTCTCTCCTGCACTGGAGGGACTATCCTTAAACGTTGGAGCTGTGACCTGGCATAGGGCCTGGTGCTCAACAGGCCACCGCAGATGTCTCAGGGCGGATCATCAGATGATCAGTCTAGCAGGATTTCTCCACTCAGCCACGCACATATTCGGGTAATGACGCCCCTTGGCCATATGTTAAGATAATCTGATCCTTCTCACTGAATTATCTGGATAGCATGGGGTGCCAAGGCATGGATAGGGGAGACTGGTAGCTAAGGAAGTTTGAGTGAGCATAGTTGCTAAGGACAAGGGCTGATAAAGAAACCAGTGAGCTGGGATGACCGGTTAGCTCAGTTGGTTAGAGTGTGGTGCTGATAAAACCAAGGTTGCCGGTTCAATCCCCGCATGAGCCACTGTGAGCTGCACTCTCCTTAAAAAAGTCAACTATGCCATTATAGCATGAAAGCCATGTGTAACCAATGACCATGGCTGTTCCCCAATTAACAACAACAAAAAAGTAAAAGAAAGAAACCAGTGAGCTCAATTTTAACTCAGATCACTAAGGCCTGGGTAATGGCACCAGCTCTAGCCCCATGACCTGCAATCTGCTTAGCCAGAATACACTTCCCTAATTGGTATTTGGGCAAGGGCCTCTGAAAGATGGCGGAAGAGTCACAAGAACCAGCAAAGCTTACTTCCCGTCACAACATGGTTTTCTAAAAGTCACCAACCAGGGCCGGCCGAGTGGCTCAGTTGGTTAAGAGCTTGCTCAAGAGTTTGAGCTCTGAGCAACAGCGGTTTGAGTTCCAGCCCGAGCTGAGCAGCCGCTGAGCTGGATGGCTCAGCTAAAAAATAAAAAATAAATAAAATCACCAACCAAGTAGCTGCAGTTAGCAGTGGCCTTCCTCCCGAGGCAAAAGGACCTGCTTTAAATGGGCACACACTAGGGCCAAGCTCAAGTGCAAATCATCACCCAGCGCATTAAGAACCCAGAGCAGGTTGGCACATAGGCTGCCCCCCGCCTTCCTTCCTCCCTGTGGCCCCATGGACATAAGTCAACTGCCTGACACCACTTCTCCATTTGAACTTTCCCCCCCAAAAAAATCCCTTCAGATTCAATAATCCAAAATCAAATCTGTGACTTTTCCTTCCCAAACTCATCCTCTACCATCCTTCTACAAACAAGACCTCAGAGTCATCTTTGACCTTTCCTCTTCCTCAGCCTCCCTGTCTATTTCTTCACCAAGTTCTGTGGATTTCACCTAGTAAATATCCCTCCAAACTCACCCCTCCTCTCCATCGCCTACCCGAGTCCAGGTCATCACCTCTCATCTGGTTCAGTACAGTAGCCGCCAAACTCAGAGTCACCTCCCAGCACCCACTCTGCTTTTCTCCAATTCAAGTCCATTATTGTCTAAACCCTACTCCGGAGGTTATTAAGATATACCTAACCCCCACGCCAGGCTTAAAATTCTTGGTGCAATACTAGGGACATATGTATAGTACAAAATTACTCCTTGCTTATCTGAATTTAAATATAACTGGTCATCCTGTATTTTTTTTTAATCTGGCAGCCCTAGGTTTCTATACACTCCAGGTGGTCTCCACGGTTCCTGCCACTGTGCCCAGTGGAGTTGCTGGGCCTGGCATTGCCCAGGTCTGCTTATCAGAAAATTCCTGATTATGGGGAGACTTCCAGGAACCAACTACCTGACCCTTCCCATGACCTTCCTAAATCAAAATTCGCTCTGAGACATGCTTGCTTACAAAAAGAAAAGATCCCATTTCAGGAGTACATTTTTTTTGTTTGTCCTAAACAATGGCTTCTCAGTCCTGAAGTTTTGCATTTAACTCGACTGCCCTCTTGTGGAAGGAGCTGTGAATTGTGCCTCAAGTGGGCACCTTCAAAGAAGGTGTAAGCATTGATTGCAGGCCTACTGTGTGCAAGACTCTGTGTTAAGCACTGAATGGAGGTTGCATAGGATAGTGAAAAGAGCCAGACAGCCCTAGCACCCATTAATTGTGCTTCTTAGGGTTAGGTCCTTAACCTCTGTGTTTCGGATTCCTCATCTGCATGCTAGAGACCATAATTATCCCTCCAATTATTGTTGTAAGTATTAAAGTGGGTAAAAGGAGGCCAAATTCCCTGTATGTAGTCAGTGCTCAGCTGAACTTGAACTGAGCACTCATTGGTTTGCACCCATGAACATCAGTAAATCAGACTGTTGGGAGATTTTTACGTGATGCTCTGGGCCTGGGGGAGAAATCTAATCTACATTTGCTGGAGCTGAGTGATGCAGGAGGAGTCCCTACAGGTGCACAATAATTTACAGTTGTCGCAGTGGTTCCATAGATGAGGTCTCATGGGGTCTTGATCATGACCTAATGAGCAGGGCGTTGCCTCCACTTTACAGATGGGGACACTAAGGCTCAGAGAGGGTAAGGGACAAGGTCACTGTGCCAAGCAGTGGCAGGGTCCGCATGAGAGTCACGTGGCAAATGGTACGGGGTCAGGCAGGTAATCCAGATGGCTGGAGCAGGCAACAGGACATGGGAGGACCCGGAGCACTGGGGGTTTGGGGGCGGCGCACTCAGTCCAAAAAGCACCGTTTAAGGCCAGTTTCTTGGTGCTGTGGGAGAATTCGTACAGCCTCCCACCCTTGTTCTTTAGCCTTCTGGAATTCAGAATTTGGTGCATGAGGTTGAATGTATGAAATTGCTGGTGTTCTGCTACTTTTACCTACACAGACAGAAATGTCACAGAAATGTACAACTTACAATTCCCCCGTTTTTAAAACATCACGCGGCTCAAACAAGCCCAGCCTATGGGACAGTGGCTATTCAGAGGCGGCCGGTCTGTGAGCCCTCCTGGCTCGGCCACGAGAGTCCCGTCTGTCACCCAGGGGAGGAGGGTGGTTGTTTGGGAATCACAGAAAGGCCCAGGTTGTCCAGGAGAATTCCTCGCAGTATTCTCAGCCTAATACTCTTACTTATTTTTTACAGTCATCCCCGTCTTATCTGCGGGGGATACAGTCCAAGAACCCTCAATGGACACTTGAAACCACAAATAGTGCTGAACCCCACGTATACTATGTTTTTTCCTCTACGTACATACCTATGATAAAGTTTAATTTGTAAATTAGGCACACTAAGAGGGTAACGACGATAATTGATAATGAAATAGAACAGTTATAACGAGTTATAACGATACACGGTAGTAAAAGTTATGTGAACGTGGTCTCTCTCTAAACTATCTAATTGTACTGCGCTCACCTTTTCACTTAAAGGAACCACTTTACGGCTCCTCTCTGGCATATCCAAATCACCAGCATCACTACTCTTGCGCTTTGGGGCCATTCTGAGGTAAAATCAGGGTGACTTGAACACAAGCACTGTGACACCATGACAATCTATCGATCTGATCACCAAGGAGCTACTAAGGGACTCCCAGGCGGGAGCGTCTACAGCGTGGAGAGATGGACAGAGGGATGAGTCACATCCAGGCGGGACCCAGCGGGACTCGCGAGATTTCATCACGCTACTCAGAATGGCATGCTTATCAATTATTAAACTTATCGATTGTTTATTTCTGGAATTTTCCATTTACTATTTCTGGACTGCGGTTGACCTCAGGTAACTAAAACCACAGAAAGCGAAACTGCGGCTAAGGGGGCCCTATCGTGCTCAGGACATTCCAATTTTACCTGAAGTCTTGGCCGCACCCTTTGCAATAATAAAGCAGCCGTCCTGAATAACCAGGCTGCCCGATTATTTGGGCTGAGGTCCAGAACGCAGCCCCCTTTACACATTGGTCACTTAAATCTTTACACTTAGTCATAATTGCATACATATACACAATTCCCAAAAATGCATAAGTATGATCATATCCACGCTGTTCACAGTGCCGTCTTTTTCCCTTTTCTGCCGAGTCCCATCACCCCATTCTGCCTTCTTGTTCCACAACAACCTGACCACCTAGCACGTGCTTATTCGTATTATTCTCCGTGCTCTCCAGTGCTCTACAGACACAAGCATAATCATACACACACATAAGAGGATCCATTTGCTTGTTTTCTAAAAATTAAATCATGTTGTGCTATCTGTACTTCATACCCTATATATGATCATAATGTGCTGCAAACCCTTTCCCAGTCAACTGGTGTAGTTATGCGTTCTGTCTAACTATGCATAAACATGTGCATACATATGTATTCAGCCATCCCTTGGGTTGCTCCCTCACTTTTCTTCCCAGTTTTCTGCTCCAACGCAGACTGATGCAGTAGACACCTTAGTACATATGTCTTTATATTTTGGTGTTTTTATTTCCATGGGCTGGCTGGCCCAGAGGGATTCATGTATTTTTCATTTGCATCGCTGTTGCCAGCTTTCTTTGTTAAAAACTCTGTCACCCTTCAGATGTCCACCAGTGCCAGCTGCATGTATGACATGTCACTGGGCACAGCCCCAACATGAGCACGGGTTATGGTAGGAGATAGGAAGGAGGGACGGCCCGGCGATGGGTACCCCCAAGGCCGGCTGCCCTTACCTGTTGTAGCTATGGACCAGGTCGAAAACCATCATGTCCGTGGTGTTGACGAACTTGCACTGGACAGGCATAAACTCTCCATCGGGGGAACACTGGGGTGGCGACTTGTCGCCCACCCCGTGGAGAAGACGGCGGTTTCTTATCTCACAGTTCCTTGGACCTAAACATTCCCAGGGGAAAATATTACATTCTCAGGTGTGAGTAGGTGTGCGTGCTTCTGCAGCCTAGAGGCATAGATTCATGCTGCACGTGTGACAGTTAGAGACCCAAACAGGGACAAAGGTCTGCAGGAGGAGACGTGCAAGAGCTCGTGGAAACCCTGTTCATGCTTCCTACCCTCGGCCAGCGAATATTGATCATGCACTGTGTGGAAATATGAGAAGTGAGCAAACCTTCCTTTCATTCTCTGCACGGAGGGCCGGGCTCTCCGCCTTCGGCAGGGAGACCTGACAAAGTTTGGGTCGGGGTGTGGGAGACAGCAGGGCCCCACCTCCTGGGGAGGCTGCTGCTGGTGCTGGGTGAGACTTACATCGCCGGGGCCTCCCCTGCTGGCGGGTCCCGTACACCTCCATCCCTTCTGTGTCCACACACCAGCATTGCTCCCGCCGCACGTCGCACTGCACTGGCGTGTAGTCCCCTGAGTCCTGACACTGAGGGAGGTAGGAGGCAGCCGTGTTGTTGATGTAGGTGCTCAGCAAGATCTGCTGCCTCTGCAGCTGGCAGAAGGACAGACCTAAGGGCACAAACAGCAGTGTCACAGCAGGGCTGCAGGGGGGTCTCAGCCCCGGAGGACTTGAGCTCCCTCCGTAGAGGGGGGACGGAGGTCCTTCCCACGGCTGAGGGGAACCACCAGGCATGGATGGATGCTCAGTGAGTTGGGGGCGGGCTTAGAACCAGCGTCCCGACTGCCCACCTTTATCCCAGCTTTCCTTCCAGCTGCCTGCAGACTGAGTCAGAGAAAGGCAGGGTTCCCTGTGCCCCACCTGTCACCTGGAAACCCCGCCGTACTGGCGCTGAAGACATGGGTGTGAATGGAGTACAGGCCTGGCTGTTAACAGAGCTTCCCTCAATCCAAATTTTCCCACGTGTTTGCTGTGTGACCTTGGGGAAGTCGCTTCACCACTCTGTGCCTCACTCAGCTTTTCTACAGAACTGAAATACAAAGGCCTTCTTCGGGTGCCTGAGAGTTAGTTACATTAATGATTTCTGCCCCTACTGAATGCCAACAACCCTGTTTCCCCGAAAATAAGACCTAGCCGGAAAATAAGCTCTCACATGATTTTAGGCGCCAAAATATGGCACCTTGGCATACTGACTATTTTAAGCTGAAGGAGTTTGTGGAAAAGGCACTCTTCTCCCTGAAACAGGTCATAAAACCCTCATGTGAGGGCTGCGTACCCTCCATATCCTGGAGGAATCATGCTACGGCTTCTTCTTCAGCTGGGTCTTATTTTGGGGGAAACACAGTATGTGAACAGTATTTTACCCCATATTCCTGCTGCACAATCAGTAAAGCTTGTGACCTGGCCGGGGTCACTCAGCCAGAGAGCTGGGAGCCAGCCTGCTCCCCAAGCCAGCCGTGCGGGCCGCGAAAACCAATGCCCAAAACAGAGCTTTTCCCATTAAAAGGTATGTTGGCTCTGTACTCAGTTTCACCGTTTCAAGGTGACCAGCTTAAGCCGACCTTGGTTTTGGGTTTAGCTACTCATATGACATGCTTCAAATGGGGACTACGTTTCTTCACACATCATCATCATTATTTTAACAGGAAACTTTTCACCTAAGTCTCAAATTTCAGAAACACCTCGGGTGAAAAACACTGTGCACTTCCCGGTTCAGAGGCCTCTGAGGTCTGCTTGTCATGGTGCCCTTAGCACCAGGCTGGGTCCCTGGCATGGGGGGAGACGGGGGAACTCAGTAGCTATTTGCTGAACAAGTGACTTGATTGTCCCATTTGATTTTCGCAGCAGTCCTACAGGAAATAGGACCTCTGGTGCAGGACTGTTATCCCAAGTCAGAGGAAGAAACAGCAGCTCAGAGGGACACTTGGCTGGTCACATGCCAAGCCCAGCGCTCTTTCCCGATATGAGTGGTCCTAGCAAGGTCCCCATTCCCACGGGACGCCCCCTTTGAGCCCCTTCCACACTTACAGGCCACGGGTCGCCCAGGCTGCCGGCTGCCAGGCACTTCCCTGCCATCGGTACCCACACACCAGCAGAAGCGGCCATCGCGCCGGCACTGGACGGTCCTGGGGGCAGGAGAGACACAGAGGCCGTTACCGGGTCCCGCAGCCACGACCCAGGCTACCTCCCTTCTGCCTCTCCACTGTTCCAAGCTTTTATTCAGTAAATTGGGGAGACTGGAGGGGAGAGGGGCAGGTGGCTTGGGAAAGGAAAAGCTCTCTTTCTGCGTCTTGCTAACCCCTGCAGCACCTTGCTCACTCTCCAGCCTTCCATCGGCAAGCTCCGTAGCAAATGACCCCTGGTTGTGATGCCCCAGCCACACGGAGGCTGCAGAAGGTAAAGGCAGCACCCTTAAGTGGACCGGAGGCGGGGACACAGCATGGGGGGCTGGGGTGTCAGGGCTAGCAGAGAGCTGGGCCTCGGTTACGGGTGACACAGGAAAACACATGTGTGAGGTTTCCCGGGGGAAGTGACAGCTACACCAAGGCTGGCGGGATGATCAGGGCAGAAGAAGGTAAAAGGGTGTCCAGGCAAAGAGAACGGCCTCCTGAGCAGGAACTGCAAGTGGCTGGCACAGGGATGTGGAAAAGCTACGTGAAGAAGGCCGGTGGAGGTGAACCGTCCTCCTAACCCCTCTGCCACCCCAGGATTCGCAGGGACTGGACTGGACATGTCACTTTGCACTCTCGGGAGCCTGTTAGAGTTTTGTTAGGCACATCAGAAGGCATATCAAATGAAGGCAGAGAGGGCCGTTCCACAGTGCTCCCCAGTACACAGTCCTCCGGGGAGCGGGGGCTCCCCGAGTTCTGTGGGGCTAGAAGAGCCTGGGAAGTTACATTGTCGCTTACAAAGGATTCCTGTGTATTGGGGGAGAGGGGTTGTGTAGGTTATCACCCCACCCTACAGGGAGAGTGTCCTGGACCTAAGTTCATGATAGGGCAGCTGAAACGCCCCTCACTGGGGAGACAGCCGCACACAGCCCAGCGCTGGACCCAGCAGCCATTGACCTGCAAGTCCAGCCACCGTCTGCTCGCTCCACCTCTGACTTTTCAAGAGGGTAAGAGGAAAAGGGGGAGGCATCAAGGCCTTCACCTGCCCCCACCTTTTATCAAAGCAATTATGGTAAACGTTTTGCCAGGACAAGAAGCCATGTCCTTGGTCCTGGCTGGGGTGAAGCACAGATTGGGGCACTCTGGGCCACATCACCCAGTGTTGACTGGCCTGGGGAACCATGACTCGAGGTGGACACCCTCCGAATGACGGTGGCCACCTCTCAGTCCATGGAGGAGAGCGCAGTGTGTAGCAAGGGGGCAGAGCCTGCGTGGCTGGCATAAGCCTTACTGGAAGCCGCCATCTTCTGCGCACTGGGGGACGTAGTCTGCTCGCTTCCGAAAGGCGCTGTCCCTCTGCAGCTCGCAGGGCCGAAGAGGCTGGGCGTCCACCTGGTATTCTACAAAAAGGGGGCGACCCATCAGAGAGTGTGGACTGGATTGCAGTCACCAAGACGGGCTCCCTTAAGTACAGACGCTCTTCTGGGCCTTATTTCTAGCACCGTGGCCACCCGTTAAGTTCCAACTTGCAGTTACGTGGCTATTCACGCTTTCCTGAGTATGATATTAGCTCATTTAATCCTCAGTATTCCTCTGGGGCGGGGACAGCATCTCCATTGTAACCCTGTGGCTCTAAGACAGGGACAGTGAAAGCGACCTGCTTGAGGTCACACAGCTGGCGAGAGGATTCAACATAAACCCTTGGGCTGCACCCCCACAAGCAGAGGCTGGGTTAGGTCAGAGCTTCTGGAATTTATCAAGCCACTCCCTGCAGACAGCACCTTCCCGGCACAGAGTAGGAATGCCAGTTAATTAGTAACTCCCACCGTGTCTTACTTTCCATTGAGAATGCATGAAACCTGGAGGCGCTTACTCAGAAATCACAACTGCGTGAGAAGGTGAGTGTCCTTTGCTTCCTTTTCCAGTGAGGAAACTGAAGCTTAGACTTTTCCAAAGTCGCACAGTAAGTGTCTGAGCCATGGTCTATTTTACTCCACTGCACTACCTGGTGGCTATTCAAACACTTCGCATGCATGACTTACGACTTGAGATAGCAAAGGGAATAAAAACAATGTCAACATCAAAAATCTGCTGATAGGGTGGGGTGAGTGAGTTCGAATTAAGTTGGGAAGACCTAGTTTCCCATTTCATGTCTACCAACCACTATCCCTGTGACTCAGGCAATTTATTCGGCTTCTCAGAACCTCTGTCTCTTCCTCTGTAAAGGAAAGGGCAAGTAACCTCACCCCTGGACACCGTAGGGATTCAATGAGATCGTATATATTCAAAGGCCCGCTGACTTTGGAGCTCTGGCCTGAGAGTTCCCTCCACCCTGTTCCATGGCCTCAGGCTGAGAACTCACCAAAGATATTGGCCGACACCAAGCAGGCTGAGCCCAGCAGACTGAAGACACACAGGGCCAGGGCCATTTCTGGGCCCCTCTGGGGATGGAAGGGAGAAGCCACTGCCTGCCCTAGGGCCCTGGCCAGGGAGCCTTTATGCAGCTGCTGGGCCCACTCCCCTGCTCACAGCACGCAGTGAAGCAGCTCCGCCCTGTTTTCTCTGCTGGTCACAAGGGGTTCCTCCACCTGCGTCTGCTCCTGCTGAGGACACTCGTGTGGTCAGTGGGGGGTGAAAATCTCGCCGAGGATATAGGGGAGCCAAACTGGATGGGTGGCTTCAAAATTCATCTTTACATGGGAAGGCCAAAGGTCCATGGCTTTGTGGGTAACAGGCTCAGGGTCCCTGGGAGAGAAGCAATCTCCCCCTCCCTCCATCCCTTCTTCCCTTTACCCTCCCTCCGTCTCTCATTTCTCCCTTCCTTCCTCTCTCCCTCCCTCCTTCCTTCTATCAATATTAATTTTAGAGCCCAACAGTAGCAGACATATGCTAGGCAATGAGAGTTTGGCAGAAAACAAACAAAACGGGTGACATCATTAACATAGAATGTAAGAATTTTAGTGAGGGAAGACACACACACACACACACACACACACA